TATAATAAGAAGTTTAGCCAAATTACTCATATGTTTCATTGTAAAAAATGATAGTTTGCTTAGAAGACCAGAAAAAGCATAGTAAACGAAAAAATATCCAATTAATGAAAGCCTTTGGTCAAGGTTTAATATTACGAAAGCGAACGTTTCAATCGACTTACAGATGTATTTGCATTCACTCTATGGAGAGTGGTCATATCTACAGATTTGCTGCTCACAAGGGAACCAGCCGAGGAATGTGCACTCTTCTGTAAACAGAAACATTACGAGAATCTTATAAGTCTATCCAATGTGGTAAAGTCAGCAGTGATTCGAAAGGAAATGAATTCTGTAATAAAGATCGCAAACAGCAGAGAAGCACACCTACCGAAAGAGCATCGTTTTGCCATGAATGCTTTCGTTCAACGTATCCATGTTGCTGTTGCTGTTCCACTGCCTGACGCAAGGCTGTAATGTACAAAAGTATTTGCACAGTCAAGCAATTTATAGCACATCAGTCGAAACGCTATTCTGCGAAACAATGGGTAATTTCAACACATAGTAAACTCAAAAACTGCTCATCTTTCGAAAACTTTGCGATCACAGGGTTGAATTTTTGACTACAAATATAGATTTCAGTGCTTTTACGAGTAAAACCCAGAAAATTGGTTCTAATCTTACAATGAAAAAATTATTGAACTTGTACTGACCTTCTTCTTGTTGCCTTGCAATCTCTCTCAATGCAGCTAGATCAGGAATATCATCTTGTGCTTGTGGTGAAGGCCGCGTCGCCGATGCTGCTCGTGACAATAAATTATCTGGCTGAAAACAATGATGTTTCTTCCAAACAATATCCAAGAATAGAAATACAGAGAAATACGATAACAAACCGTAGTAGTATTGTTGCTATTCCTATCTGCGTCCTTGTTGGCTACGACAGGAGAGGAGATAAGGGTTTGAAGAAGCTAAAAGGATGATGAAAATCATGAAGGAAAAAGGGATAAGCATCATGAAGAAACGCGTGGTTGTGAGAGCTTTAAACTGACTGAGCTACATTTTTTTAAAAAATTTCACTTTCAAAGTTTAACTGGTTCATACTTAAAGTAAATTAAGTAATTCAGAGCAATTTAGAGAAGAAAAAGAAAATTTCAGCTCTCTTATTTCGAAAAAAAATTGATTCAAAATTGAAGGGACCCACATCAAATCGTCAAGAACCGTATTATCAAAAAAAAAAAAGATCTGAAGCAATTTTTACATCAGCCTATAATTGGGAAAAAAGGAGAAATAACCAAACATAGCAAAGCTTGGCCTGTAGTTAAACAATTAGTTAACTGGTCGTCGTTTACTCAGACACGGAAATCACACGTAAAAAAGAACACGAAAAAGAACATTTAGACGATAGATTTTGTGAAGCCGTTAGTAGAGAGACTTCGCAGCTAGTTTGCAAAAAAAATAACGTGATTTTCTAGTGGATAATATCAACTACAATTCTCACAACTCTTAAATGATTATTGCTTGTTAACTTTAGAGATATTATTGAATCTCGAACAATTGAAAAAATTGTATGTGTTAAATGTTGTTTGTTAATGATTAGATAGAAACAAAAAACGTTACAGGCCAAACCTGAGCTTTCGGATTAGGTACACGCACGTTGGACGGTGCAACATGTCGTTGGCTCAAACCGAGAGGAGTAGAAGCCTGTCCAGCGGTGTTAGGACGCGGATTTGCTAAAGGACGCGCTGTCGTCGATGCTGGCCGTGACAACCTCGCCTGCTGTTTTGTTGTAGTGTTACGTGATCGCGAAGACAGAGGAGTGTTTGTCGAATGTTGCTGAGAACGCGGCTATAAATTGGTTAGATGGGAGAAAAGCACTAGTTATAAGTCCAGCAACCAAATGGAGAAGGCTAAACCTACGATTTCTAAGCTTTCACGTCACAAAATAAAAACAGCAACTTAAGAGTCAAAAAGCAAAAAAACACTGAGTAGTAGATTTTTGTAGAACCATTTAGAAAACAGATACTGTCATCACCCAAATTCATATTCGAACTGAATACGCGCAGTAAACTATAGCACATTAAAAATGCGCTTGGTTTCGCGAAGAGATTTCTGATAGTCTTGAGTTTAAGAAAAAATGTTAATCAAAGCAAAAAGACATCAACCACAAGAAGATTTAAATCGATGATCAGTTCTTTACTAAAAAATGATGCAACAAACCTGCTCAATGCTTCCGGTATACTCCTTTGTATTCGCGTTCATCTGAGTTGGCCTTGATACTGCGGTGGCAGCTGATCGCGGGCTTACAGAGCTAGACCTGAACAAATACTATTACTGGAAATGTTATGAAATCATCAGATGTGATGAGCGCATCGAATAAAAATATCTATATGAGAATAACAGTTACGAAATAGATATTGGGATCGATCAAATCCTCAAAAAAGAGCATTGCACTTTCGTATACAACTGGAAGAATTGGCTCTTCAACACGAATGTACAGTTCAATACCAACACAAATGTACAGTTCAATACCAATACCAAACCAGAGGGAAGAAGCTTATAATCAACCATAAAATCTTAATTTATCAATAAAACGTAAGGACAAATTGATTTACTCAATATGGCTTAACAGAAAATTCTGTACAACGGTGCTTTACAACTATATAACAGAAAACCTGAAACATAACTAAGGTCTCTGAGTACGATAAACAGTTCTTTAGCTATTCGGATCAATTTTCCTGAGGTCTGTGTTTTGCACCACGATAATAGCAAAAGACAAAAATAATTTCCTAGTGATTGTCTCAGTCACCAGAACTGATTGTTTAAAGTGATGGAATAAATAGTAATTACTAGTTGCACAAACAAAACAGCTTATTCAAATGAGTGTTCAGGAGGCTCAGTTCAAATATCGATCCGCGAATGAAATTAATGGGGAGATAAGCATTAAAAATGACTGAATTACCTCAACGGCTTCGAGTTATTGGCTTGAACAATGAGTTGAGTAGTTGGCGTTTCCTCGTCTACTTTCATCAATGACTGGGTCATACAATTACGCACAACAGAAATTCCTGGAAATCTTAGCTTTTCTTAAAGTACTTTTGAAGAGTATTCAAAACACTCGTTTGAGATAGACACGATACTTCGATCTGTCGTCTAATCCTCCCTTTCTGTTAAATGAGGTTTAAAATCTCATATAAAGATGGGTAAAGCTGGAAAAGGAAAAAGAGAAAGACTGCGTAATTCAAATGATTAGAAAGCCAGGAAAGTCATAAATCAAATTGTAAAAAAAAGGGGTCGTGAAAGCATAGAAAAAATCGGGATGTAGCACACAATAAGATTTGGCCCTAACGACGTTGACCGAATATAGTTCTGTGTCGTACTTGCGCAAAGAAGGCATTACAGTTCGTGATGTGATGAATAACATAATCGACACAATTTTAAAAATTTGCGACTCCGAATGGCACTTCACTACACACACACATTCAATCACTGCTCACAAAATAACAACCACCGAACGACACTGACCCGAGTCATCATCCGGCAACATGCCATTGCCACCGAGCTGATCTTCATGCAGTGATGAGGTCATCAGGAGATTCTGTACATCCTCACAGAAATCCGAGCTGGCGTCGAAGAATTCCTCATCAGAATCTGACGGACCTTGGTTGGCTGCTGGTACAGCTATTGGTGATAGCGCTTCATCTTCTAGGCTTCCGAAGGAGCAGCCATTGGAACGAGGATGAGGAGTTGAGCTCAGAAGCATGGGGCCAGGGATGGAGTTGCTTTGCGACGAGGCGTTCGACTGATCGGAAAATCTGCTAGTGAGGCCAGAGTCGTTCGTAAGCTCGCAATGTGGCGGCTGTTCATTCTCGCTGCTCTGCAGTATTTCTGGAGATGAACACACTGATGATGTAGATGTGCAGAGCGGTTTGAAATCCTCAGGTACATGCACAGCTTCCGGACTTCCATCAGCTTCCGCTACAACATCTAGTGACGGTGATCCTCCCAAACGTAAACGTTCGTTTCGAGCTGCTGAAATCGAAAGCACGGAAAGTTTACAAAGTAGCATGCATTACGTTAGTGAAAATCTTCATCACAATCACAAAATTCACATACCGTGCTCTCCTCAATATAACTAAGCGAAATCTACTGCGCGGCATAGTGTGATTTTACACCACATGCAACCTAGTAAACGACATTTGATTGCAACTGACAAGCCTTCCACCGACTGATCAATCAAATGTCCACGCTCCTAGCATCGAAGTGAAAGCCTCTATACATACACGGGTTAGATTCTGCTAGACTGTACTAATGTTCTAGATCGTTATCAGAGCATAGGCATGAGATTTTCTACTCTATTGAAGTAATTACGAAAAGACAGCGGCAAGATTTTTTAATAAGAAACAAAAGTTGTGTGCACTAGCATATGATTATTACTAGTTTTAGTAGCTCCCTCATTTAAAGTGTTGAAAGTAAAAATTCCCCAAAACAGTCATACTGCTTTCGTGAAAGGAACAATATTTGAGCGAGAGTAGTTTTTCTACTCTTACCAACTTCGACTCATTCTTAGCAAATGCCCTTGCAGAAAAGATCAGTTTTCGATAGATGTCTCTGCTCTTTCTTCCCCAGATTCTTGATTGTTAAATCAATTCTCAAGGCAGATTTGCTGGGCTGCCTTGCACTAGTTCTTCTGAGCAAAAAAGAGGTGCAAACTACGGAGAAGGTACAATACTTTAAAGCATTTGAAAATGGCTACCTTAAAGGCTGTTGGTAGCAAAACGGCAGACAAAGTAAACTCAAAAGTCAGATGTTTACAATGCCAACATTTCTTGTACCATACTTTGACATTTGAAAAACCATGCATAAAAAAGAGCATAAACATGCAGCGAACAATAGCAGCATGCATTTGAAAAACAGGTGCAGCCTAAAAGCAAGGAGGGATCACAATCTATACGGATATGACATCACTAAATAATCCAATTGCAGCAAAACTCAAATTTCC